TGTTATCATCTCTAGGTACAGAGGCGCCGTCGTGTGACGACAACTGCGATCTAACCACTTTCCCGACCCCCCTCTTCTACTCTTACCTCCACCCGTTCCCCAGCCCGCCTCAGTGCCCGCACTGCTGTGACCGTCCCAACCTTGTTCACATGGTCTGGCAGTGCCAGCTTATTCCCGCCATTCCAGCCAATACATATCCCACCCCCACCTCCTGGGAGGAGCGGCTGACCGATGACACGGCCACTGGCCAGGAATCGCTGCATGGTGGACCGCGCTAAGGCGGTCGCTGCCATGTATGGGGCCCCGGACTAGGGGCTCCACCCGAGGGTTAGTCACACGTCGCTACAATGAAGTTTATTCATTCATTCATTTGAGGCATAACTTTATTTTCCTGGACGATTTGAAGTGAAATCGCCCAATAAGCATTGGTTAGATATAATAAGACAATATAAGGCGCTCTTAAAACAAACAAACATGATCTGTAATTGAGATTATGGGCGCAGGAAGGTAGTTCCAGTCACAGGCTGTAGATGGCGTGAAGGTGAAAGAGTTTGGTGCGAGCATATGGGATGTCAACCTTGTCTTGATCGTCGAGCCTAGGTGAATTATTTCCACCTAATGACATTTGTGTGATCAACGGATCAGTTCGCGATCCGTTGCGCGTACACGCTGCACCAGGAGTGGCGCACGCTGATATGCCGATCCCTCAAATGTCACTCGATGAAAATAAGTTCACATGACAGTAACTTTCCAGCGTGACAGCATCAGTATAAATGTAATCTCAGGGCCCGTTTGCTCGAAGCCGGTTAACTTAAACCGCGGTAAAAAGTTAACCGCCATTCCAGGTACCTACAAGTACCTAGCCAATTTTGACGAGGGTTGGATGAGCGATAGCTCCGTGTCCTACTATGGGGTGGTAGCTGGTGTCACCTACTGGTTGTAGCGAATATACGTGGTTTTCGTGTAAGAGTTCCCGTAAAGGGGTGGGCCCAAGAACGCGCGCTACCGGGTTTTCGCGACGCAGCGCGGCATTCATTTGATCTTCAGAAACACTTCTTGTTGCTCGCGGTACAGATCTTGGGTAAGGTAAAACTAAATCAACCCTTGTTTGGAAAATTTCTAAATGTTTGGCTGTCTGAAGTGAAGACAAGCCTCGTTTGAATTTCCTTCCAAGTTTGAAAGAGGACGATTATGTTCAGTCCTAGAAACGATAAGGGAGAAGTGAGCAGTGAAAGGCGGGCGTTACACCGGCAACATGGTTGGCCAGCATGTAATGAGCTGCACATAACACCATCATAAATTCCAAACCGCGTAATGGCCCTATTGCTGAATTACCCAAGTATCAAGGAGAATGCAGGGAATGGTGTTCGCGCCGCAATAGACCCCTCTCACTAGCCAGTTTGACTACGCCACCGCTGCCGCAATGCATCGAGGGAGCTTTAGTATTTCAGCCCGCGTCCGAACCTTGCTGGAACTCTGCGCGTGAAAAGCACGAGACGGCACGCGCCATCTTGGACACTGCCGCCTGCTTCTTGTGAATTAAAGTTTTGTCGGCTTCACGCATGCGCCGAACGCTTGGTGAGATCGGTCTATTGCTGGCGTCTGCAGCACTGTTCTAAAGCAAAAGCCTAAAATAAATGGCATCCTGCACGCGCGTTCATCAACGCTTCAACGTTCATCCACCATTGTAAATGGGAAATAAAGACGTTATTATTATTATTATTAATATTATTATTATTATTATTTATTTTGGTTATTTACTTCGAATCTTTCATACTGGAAAGGCGTGCACGTGCGGCGCGTGGAACACCATTCCCTGCATTCTCCTTGATGCTAGGTATATTCGGCTCCAGTAAAAATATACCTATTACTAAGTCATCCAAGCATCAAAAGGAACGCTGAAAGTGTAATTCTACGCTCCGCGCGCGCTGGCCTCCCCCGTATAAAAGATTCGAAGTAAATAATCATAATAAGGCTTTGACACACGCGCTTGCAAGGCAAAATTTGTTTTAGGCTTTTGCTTTAGAACAGTTGCCATTGCTTTCTCTATACTTACAAAGCCTGGCAGATCGCCACGAGAAGCGGCCGCCGAAATTGAAAAGGTAGATCGGCAGACAACGGATGAGAGGAAAACCACGTGACGGGCACCCCGCTACGGCGAGACGCCGAAACACACTTCTCCCGAGCGATAAAATGTCCACTCGTGGTCCTCGCGTTCCTCGCGCTACCGCTTCGTTTCTCGTCGGGTTTGAAAACCATGTTTCGGGACCTCGCCTCTGCAAAAGCTGTGCGCTGACGTCCAGCTTCCCCGAGAAATGCTCTGTACTACCAGATCTTTGCGCTCCAAATCTCCGAGCGGGCACTCCGTGGCTCCGTCATCGAACTGCCAGGCTTTGTGAAGAGTGGCTGTTGTGAGTACAACGCCGCTTTGATGGTCGCGTCTTGCAGACGCCGAAGCGAACATTACATGGTCGCGTATTCTGGAAGTGCTCGCGCACCCTGGCCGTGTGCAACAAGCTTATATTGAGTCAAGGCAATCTACAATATAATAATACAAAGACGTTGCCATGTCGACAATTACCGCGTAATGGCCAGAATCGAAAGAGTATCTAAAAATGAGGCGAAGTCATTGATCATGCTTTGCGATGTAAGTGAGGTAAGGCAAAGCGAAAGCCTCTTGGACCATTCATTGCTGACTAACGGGCCCGATATCGCCGCTACAACGACATAGTTCCGAAGCGAGCGACGCTTAATCGCAGGGACACCGCCACGTTTCCCCGCCGTCCTTCCTCTGCCGGTCACATGACCTGAAATTCTCCCTCGTAGGGAAATGCGATTAACTTTTTACAGCTGTTAAAGTTCACCGGCTTCGAGCAAACGGGTCCCTGGTGGAGGATTTCTTCCCAAACAGATTTATACAAGAGCGAGCACGAGGCTTTCAAGAAGTCCATGTCGTGCACGCGCACTCGTGCCAATAAAAGGGTTGCTGAGGGAACAAGTGTACCCTTATACGTAGCTCGCACGAGACACCACTACCTCGTGCTGGTCGTCATTTTGGGCCATTCCTACTCGTTCTTTCTGCGAAAAAAAAAAAAAAAATCGGTGTTGCGAGATGTGCGAGATGAAAAAGGTACGCGCTCAGCAGCGAGGCCACCACATTAGCCGCTGATGCGACATCAGCGCGAGCCATCTATTCGCGACTCCAGCAAAACAGACGGCACACAGCAGGAGGACACTCAAGAGCTAGAATCTCTCGCGGCCCCTGCTCGGCTCTCTTAGCTTCCGTGATTGCATGTTGTCGGCGGTTAACGCAATGGCCAGTGAAGTAAAAAAAAAAAAAAAAGCGAGGGAAAGCGAGTTGGTTCTGTCCACACAACGAAGACAGCAGCAACGGCAGGGCCGCAGGGAAAACCGTAACTCATAATGGCCTCAGGAATAAGGTGCCGTCTTGCAATGTTTCTCACATTGTATAGGGCGAACAGTTGTTCCGGTGTTTCTGTCGTTACTGTCATGTCGGCGTGCTGCCCAGGTTACTCTGAACAGAACGCGTGAATCAGACATTGTGCGTTTATCAACGTTAGTAAAGTATGAACTCAATTGAGCAAATACGCGGCGAAGAAGCTACGAACTTCGCCCGATGGCGCGTTCGCTTTGCGCGTAGCACAACAGCCACTCTTCTGACACCACGCGCAGCGCGAACACCGACGGGCGAAGTTCTTCGCTTTTTTCGCATCAAGGAGTCTAGCCCTTAGCGTGGTACAAGGTAGACAGTCTTTTCATCGCTTCTCTAAAGAAGGCTAAGCCTCTGGAAGCTCGCTTACGTCAGCACACCGTCGTAGGTTTTGAACGTACATGGATAAAACATTAGGGCAAATCATTTTGAAGCTAATGCTTGCTGGCTTAAAGGGGCGGTGCAAAGCCTATTCAATTGGAAGAATTTTCACTTCACACGAGCTTACTGGCACTAGAGGGACTCAGGGATACTCGGACGCAACGCCACTGGTCAAGAGACTCCTTTGTTACGGTGTAATTTCAAGGACAAAAGCGAGCGTTTTTATTCAATCTTCGCGAAACTTGATGACGTATACCTGGGGGATTGCACTATTCTCCCGTGACGGCATTTGAATGTGGTTCATAGGTTGCACCCGAGAATTGCGTGGGCACTCGATTTGGGCTCGTGATAATCGATAGCTCGAGAAACATTCGGGCAGTGGCCCGTGTCCAATCGCTGCAATGACGACAATAGCCGAACCATAACAATGTCTGCAACTCAGCGCGTGTCCTCTGCCTTGCCAACCCCAGCGCGTGGATATATGATCAACATTGGCGGCATATAATCGGCACCAGGTCAGGTGGCCGCTTGTTCAGGCTGCGAGTTGAGGGGGTGAATGCTACTTGTTTTACTTTATTTCCTGCGAGTTCGATTACGTGTGGTGAAAAACGAACGGGTGTTCGACAGGTCATTAACGTCAGAGATCCGTTATCTAAGCGGTATTTACGCGAAGTACAAAAATCATTGCATCGCCCTTTTAAGCCCGAGCGTAGTGCTTTGAGCAGTCACATGGTACAACATGACCTGTTTTCGGTCACCATGTTTGTCGAGAGTACCGACCCAGGTCACTGGAGTTGCGAATAACTCCGGCTTTGCTTACACTTATGGTGACGTGAAGTAGAGTATGTTACTGTCGAGACGGCAACTTATTAAAGTTCGCGTCAACCCGCTCGATATTTCGGCCCGTCCATGATAATGTGCAAGTCATAAAACGAGCATACGCATTTTCGTGTTTTTATTTGTTTCCCTTCTCGGTGCTTGTTTGCATTTTCACCGGCTGGTATTTTGACTCTGTCGGATAAGAGGATGCGTGGGAAAATCTCCACTTGAGACCCGACCGACTGTTTGTCGGGAGCCGGCGTCAAGCTGGTGGGCTCGTTGAAATGCTTACGGGTGCAGAAGAAAAGCGGAATTGTGAAGTCTCCCAGCTGCGCGTCGCTTCTTAAGAGGCGGCGGTCGGAGGCAGGACCTCAAGTCCGCACAGATCCAGACGGTAGTCATGTCCCGCTCCTTCCTGGTCCTCTTGGTCCTTGGCCTCGCCTCCTGCCAGCGACGGAAGCTCAACTACAGGGACTGTGGTGAGCACCTTCAGGACTCGCATTGTAGGCAGGCCCCGTGCATGTGCATAATCTGCGATGACCGGAAGATCAAGTTATAATCACTAAATAAGCTTCAGTAACGACACGCCGGCCATCTCGGTGCTTAAAATAATTGTCGCCAGTTCAAAGGTTTGTCTGAAATCGCGGGAGGCGCTTTTTCTCTCCCCAGAAATGATCAAAAGTCTGCGACAGCAAAGCAAATTGCTGTGTGTATGTTTATACAGCCGGAAGTTAGTCTGCCTCGGTGGGCGTCTGGCGTCTCAGCTGTAGATGAGCAATTTAGCCAGTGCGGTACAACCGCTAACCTGGGGTCTTTAACGTGCACCACGCAGTAGTGATACACGACCGCACGCCGGTACGATGCTCATCCAGGTCGAAACGGGCAGGGGCGGGGATTGAGCCCAGGATCCTGGGTTCTAAAGCGCGAGCTTTCGCTCTACGTGCTCCGAGCTGGTGTGCGCTAGACCACTCGGTCACCGATCCCCCTAGTCCGCGACAGGCAAAACGATATTTCCTCAGCTTCTTGGCAGCGAGCTCAGGTGTTTCGAATTGCCCGCTCCGCACTAAACACCAAGATGGTGGCGCCCACAAGGAAATCGGAGAAGGGTGTGCCGATGCTCGCGCTTACTTACTGGCCATAGCGAGGTCTATGCGACATGTATTGTGACGTAGTCCCTTCTTTCTGGCACTATTGTAATTTCGTCACGCTAGTCCATTACCTGAGACGGTATCCAGCTGGCGCACTCATGTGCTTGGCTTTTCCGAGAAAACGGCGCTTAGAAGGGCGTGATATGGGACCTATACAGCTTTACAGTGTCTTAATAGAGAGTTTTAGTAGATCGTTCCTATACCTCCGATAGCCGCGATAACGATACTATGCATGCGCGAGGAAGGCGATGGCGAAGTATCGAGTATCGTTATCGGAGTCATGGGAACGATCTACTAAAACTCTCTAATAACATCACCGGCTTTGACCGGCGGGCCGGTCAAAGCGATGATATCACGGAGCGCTGCGTGTATATCAGCGAGAGTGAGCGGGTGAGCAGAAAGCCCTGCTTACTTTCACTAGAGTTTTAGTAGATCGTTCTGATGCCTCCGATAGTGATACCCGATAAACAATGCTTGCGCAAAGGCGTCGGTTGAGTATCGGGTATCGTTATCGGAGTCATCGGAAGGGTCTACTGAAATTCCCCACTGATAACGACGCACCGCTCCCTTATTGTTGCGCTGACCGGCACATCAATCAACACTCTCGTATATATCATAATAAATAAAAAATGCAGAGCTGCACATTACGGTGAATATGGGCGCTTTCAGCATCTGCTCCCTCAGCTCCGAACGGGGTAACTCTAGTCGGAGTCCTCAAAGCTCCTACTAAACTCGGGGGAAAAAAACAAAAAAAAAAAAAAAACGCGGCTTTCAGGTTGTTTTTACGCAGTTTCCGCTTTTTCCCTCGTGGCTGACGGTCTAAGAATAAAATGGAAGCAGACGACGCCGAGCACGATCGCTTTTATTTGACGCCGGTATTGAAAAAGTCTTGACAAGGTCGTTAAAGAAAAAGCGAGTGACTGTACACATCAATGCAGCGCTGTTCGAAGCGATCCAACGCGTTCGAGCCCTTCGCAGGGTGGTGCAAAGCAGTGTTGTACAAGTTCCTCAAAAAAAGGAACGAAAGCTCGTTCCTCGTTCCTTCTGATTTTTGGAACGCGTTCCCGTTACAAGTTCCATATGTGAAAAAGGAACTCGTTCCCGTTACAGTTTCAAAAATGGAACGTATCGTTACATATACGTTACATTTGTATTTTTGCTAATTACCATATTTAGTTAAATCAATCAGAGTTTTTTTATCTATCCCATTAATAGTCAACATACGAGTTTGCATGTCGGGATGGAAGGGCACCAGGAGTAGAAAACACGCGGAAGTAGGGTTTTATTTGTTGATATATGCATGTTAAAAATCCCAGCTATTAACCATGTCCATGTTTGTAGTGGACAATTCAGACGAGCCAAATTTAATGTACTTTTACCCAGGGTTGCACTAGCATTTTACAACAACCTCGCACGCTTCAATTTAACAGAGTCCCGTGTTAGAACTTGACAACAGTTGCTTCTCCTTGTTGCTGTCCGCAAGACAAGCAAGTGAAGGAGAGGGTAAAGCTTCTGGAAAGTCAGTATTGAAAGCTACAAATACTTGGTTGGGAAGGTTAAATTTGTTGTTCAGTTTAAAGCTGGGGGACAAGAGAAGGAATAAAGGCTATTTTTTGTGTATCTTTTAAGTGAATAATGTTCGGGATACAAGGGTGAGTCCGATATCTCGCAATCTGTGATCTTGTTGTAATTGTAGGTCTCGTTATTGAAGTTCAAAAATGGCTGTAGTCGCAATAAAATTTCTGGGTGTATGAGGATTTGTGGAACCAAAGAAAGTAGCTGAGTTTGAAACAACCCTCTTTCTTTGTCTTTTCCTACGACTAAAAGTTTTGCTTTTTGTGCCGCAGTTTCGGGCACTCAAAAATATATCGACTCCCACCAGCTCTCCTGCACCCGAAACTGTTAGCAAGCGAGGACCATACAAAATAATCCATAAGATTAGTAGCCAAAAAGTTAACGAGATCCTGCACTTCGTAAAGATATTGTTTGTACTTTCATACTTTCCCTGTTAGAAATAAAATAAAAATCACCCCACTGGACGAAAAAAAGGAACGCCGTTACTCTTTCCGTTCCAGCAAAAATGTAACGCGTTCCCGTTCCAGTTCCAGCGATGCAAAATGGAACGGCGGCGTTCCTTCGTTCCTCCTAAAAGGAACGCGTTCCAGGAACGCCGTTCCTTGGAACGCCGTTCCGTACAACACTGGTGCAAAGGCTGCTTCTGTTATAAAACCCGACATAAACGACGTCAGCACACGCAAAATATGGAGCTCGGCGAATCTACGTCGCCGGTTGCGATACTTTTATACGGCCATGAGTTTGTTCTGCCCTTCGTTACGAACTTCCTATAAAAGGTATTCGTACACACACGGGAAGTTCGGCCGGGCTCGGCAATACAAGGTTATGTCGGCCGAACGAGCGTCTGCCCACGTCTCATACTCGCATGCACTCCGATTTAGCTACGCAAGCAAAACATTAATCGGGATCATGCTCCGCGCGAGCGTCCAACCGGCCACCAAAGTCGCGTCCGTACTCTGCCTTGCTCTGTTCAGCACGGACGCCGAGTTTCCGTGCAACGGCGATCAAAGCACGGCGTCAAATGAACGTTTACGCTGTATAGCATATCTGAAACAAAGAAAAAGCGCTCCACTGCATTTTCCGAAGAGAGCCTGAACTGGAAAAGAAATGCGAAGGCGCTATTCGTCTTACTCTGAGCACTTTTCTTAGACGAAAGCGAGCAAACCGCAGACCCGCGCCAAAACCAATGCAGCTTATCCCGCCATTTTTTTAATCTCTTTCAGCACCGGGGTTTCGTCAGTGATCCGGAAATATGGCATACCGCTCTCCTCTCACTCCTTGCGCATCGTTTCAGGACTCGGTGCAAGAGAGCGCAACTCCTTTACTCTGGAGCACGCGGAGTAACGCGCACCGGAAGTCGTTCTTTGCCGTCTAGTGGAAGGTGCGCGTGCTCATTAGCGAGTTTTAGTAGACCATGTTTCCCAAGCCGCTAAGCCCTTCCGCTACCCGGAACTCTAGAGCCAAGGCCATCGGCGCGCAGGCGCAGTGGCGGTTTCTTCGTAGCGGAGGGTTAGCGGAGGGGGAAATACGGTCTACTAAAACTCCTTATTGACTCCCGGAGCCGCTACTGAACGCGCCTGGTTATGTCCTCAGGCATTTTCGAGAATCAGTGCTGCTGCTCCGAACACTGAGCAAAAAATTAAGTCTACGAATGGCTGACATCTCGATCATTTAAAGCCTGATCCATTTTCCATGTTTCATTGCAAATTGTTCGTTTAGAATTTTCCGTCATTTATGCATCGGTGGAAAGAGGAATCCGCAATAAACAACCGCAGGTCATGTGTAGAATCTACTACTTGCTTTATGTTATATCTGCAGTTTGAGTGAATTGTCAGCCCATTCATAACAGTCGTTAACGATTGCGGAATATCCCTCACGCGTATTTCAGTCGCAACTATTTTTTTTAACTAGAATAAATAAATAAAGGTATGCGCCCGAGGCTTTCGGTTGAGTTGAGTAATTTAAAGGGACCATGAAATGATTTTAAAATCGAGTTTCATCCACCGCACGTCGTAAAAGGTGTGAAAAGAAACACAAAAACACAAAAATAGGGAGCCAAAAAAAAATTATTTGCTATAGAACTTTTAAAAGAAAACTGGACTCTTTTGCGCCTTCCTTCCTTCGCCTGTTCACTACGATGCATCCGCGGAAATGGAGCACGTCAGCCAAATCCACGTCGCCTATTGGGTAAGAGCCTACCTCACCAGCACCGCGATCGTAAACAATAAATAGCCGGCGAATGTTTCCTAAACGTTTTGTTAAATAATATTCAGATCCACATTTTGTAGCATAATTAGAGATATGTGGCGAAAATTGCCAAATTTGATGGATGGATGGATGGATGGATGGATGAATACGGCTGAGCCCTTTGGATCGGGCGGTAGCTTACGCCACCTAGCCATTTTGTTTTACCATTTAAGCTTAGAATATTTAAATGTGAAATCTATATTCACTCCGCAGTGCAAAGAAAGTGAGGCTATGAAACCCCCTTGCCATCAGTGGATAAGAAAATACCTAGTTTTCTCTCGATTTCTGCCACCATTCACTTAATCTTTGCTTGGTAATCTCTACAGTCTTGAAATCCACTCTCCCTTCGCTGTCTCTAAAACCCAATGACTTTATTAAATCTATGTTGTCTTCGGTAGGCATAGGGTGAAGCCCTTTACAGTAGAGTATCAAGTGCTCAGCCGTCTCGTCCTCCTCTCCACAAGCAGTGCACACTGTATCAATTTCCTGGTACTTCACTCTGTATGTTC